AAAAGTATTAACTCTGTGTTTTTTTTTTCATCTGGCGGCACTTTATTGTTGAAATCATACAAAAAATGATATATTGTGACTTTTAGCTGTATGAGTTTTCGAATTTTTGAGTTATCATAACTTTGTTAATAATAAATATTTTTTCATGGTCACACCTATTTAGAGGCACTCTGAATCCAGTGGCGTAGTGATTTTTTTCAATAAAACTTTAATAAACATTTCAAATTTTGTCCCAAGATAGACCTTTTAGTACTTGACATTTCAAAAAAAAAATATTAGAATCGATTTACAACTTCAAATTTAAGGGAGGTGTTTCCATTAAAAATGGGTCACACTGTATAAGTCAGGCTGCTCCGCCACTATTTCCATAAGCGGGTACTGCAGAAGGTAATAGAGAAGGAGTATTCAATATTACCGAAGAAGACTGGCAGAAAAGGATTGAAAAATAATTTAAAAAGACTATGTGGAGAGTGGACACTTCCATATTAAAGGTGGAAATAAATCAATTATTGATCAAAATGACGACAGTGATACTGTGGTTATTGCACTATATCGTTTACTCGAACTATAAACAGAAAAAAGACGAATCTCTGCGTATGACTTTTTTCTTTTTCTGAGAATCTTATGGGTCTGGATATATTAGTTCTATATGTGTTAATGTTTGAGAACATCCATATCAAACACTGGTAGCTGTACAGACATCTTTTATTCAATAACTTTGTTTCGTTGTGAAGTTTTTCCGTTGAGAAGCGCCAATATTGTTTCAATATTATTTTTAGTAGCGAGTTTTGTGCCGATTGTGAGTGATGCAGCGTATTGTTGAAAGTACCACCCCACACAATATCGAATTATTAATTCTAGTAGAGAGTTATATACTGTTAGCAAGTTTTTTCTTTAGAGCATGTCTGGGAGGTTGTAAAATTTATGCATGAGAACTCTAATAATTCTTTTAATGGCATGTGCCACTTGTTCATCCCATCTCAAATGGTGGTCAATAACTACACCCAAATATTCTATGGATGCTGTTTTCCCAATAGTGGAGCAATTACAGAATAACCACTTTGGAGAGATCTCACATTCAAGTGACCAATTTCAATACTCATGCCAAATACGTGTCAGACTGCAACGATACGATTAAAAAATAAACAATAATTATAGCTGAAATCTGAATACAATTGTAATTTTCGTTTACTAGTTTGATCGGTTTCGTAAACACGGGACCATATAGGTATAGAGGGCTTAGGCATGGTGAAGATACCTAACAGAGTGTAATGAATCGATCAGTCCCCAAAACTCCCCTACTATTAGAAATAAATCCTTATTGCAATGACACCATTTCTAATGAGAAACAATTAGTTTCATCCTCAAAAATATGAAGCCGGCCAAAAGGTCCCAACCCAAATGCATCGCTTACCCTTTTATTTAACCTACTCTCCTGTTAACTCATTGACGTCTGACCTATTGTTCCAACTCCCACACGAAGAAATTTTCTAATAACCTGCCCCAATATGCACACTTTGTTTGAAAATTAGAGTGATTTCGTGCAAGTTTCCGTTCGGTGAGAGCTTTTTTTTTTAATATATTGAACTCGGTTTGCATACTTTCCTAAAGTCATGTCATCCTGTTTCTCAGGAGATTTTTAAAGGTTTTTAAATTCCATTGTTCGTGTGGGATTCGAACTTGAACCACCTCGTCAAGAAAGAATTTAAACGGTTTGAACACAACATAGTCAATGAGCATGAATGCACAAGCGATAATTTATGATTGCTCTATTATTGCTCTATTGTTGCTCTATTGCAATAATTTATTATTGCTTTTGCAATCAATCAATTCTGACAGACAATAATTTTTTTAAAAGCTTTTATATAACTTGTATGTATGTTAACAAATCATGCAAGTTTTTTTTTTTAATATACTTTATTGCCTGAAGAATAAATTCTTATTGACAAAGCCTTGTGCGAAATATGAATAACATATACATGAAATCACAAAAGTAAAATCACTAAAAGTAGGTTATAACATGAACTGAAAAGAGACATGTAAATAATAACAAACGTTCAGGATATAAGAACATGGTCAACAAAATGTAAATAAATCAATTTAAACTAAATTGAATGAAATGAAATCAATAAAATACCGTAGATATTACAGTTAGTCTTCTCAATTAAAATTATCATCATAGAATTCTGCTAAGCTATAATAAGGTCTCCCAGAGAGCAAGTCTTTCAACTCTTTCTTAAGAGCTCTAAGGTCATTTATGGTTCTTANCCAAAAGTTCCAATTACGCAAGAAAACCTCAATTCACGTGGACTTAGTGTCTATCAACAACATACAGACGTAGTTTGCGTTAAGCAAGGAACACTACGTCTCCAGACGAAGCAACTGTTGCATAACATCGGTTATGCAATAGGAGGACACCTTTGAATAGTGGCTACGTTACATCGATGACATCTTCGCCATCTGGAAACAAGGCAGGGACGCTCTTAACCTTTTCCCAGACAACTTGAACGCTCAACACACCCAAAGTTCACCACGAAGACTGAACGGTTGCAGCGGATAGCGTTCCTAGATATGCTGCTAGACTAACCCACAAAGTGTACCAAAAACCCATGCACACGGATAGGTACCTTCACGCACTATAGAACTATAGAAGCACCATCCTAGCCAGAAAAGAGAGTCATCTCCACTTCAACCAGAGCATCTAGATAAAGAAATTCAAGTGACCTTGAGATCGAATGGACAGTGTATCCGCGATCAACAAAGCCATGGAACTGAAGTTCTACGGCTCAGAACGGGGAGAAGGTTCAGATCGTTGCACGCGCGTATCTACCTTATGTCGTTAGGCTTGCAGGCAGAATTGGAAAACTCTTGAGGAAACACAACATCAAAACGGTTTTCAAACCTACCAAGAAGATATAACAAAGCCTCAGGTGGGCTAAAGACAACAGCAGGGGTTTATTGAAAACCGTGCACCTTGTGGAAAGGTATACATCGGAACCACCAAAAGATATATGGGAATACTATAAAACTCAGCAGCAGTTTGAACTGTAATAATAATAGTTACCTGATTATTCTTCTCATTCCATTTATAATAAGGATAATGCGTGAGGATGACACCCAAAACGTGAAGTGTTCCACATTTTTGAGAAGTGCTCCTGAGATTCTACAAGTCGCTGGTTTTATCCAAAATCGACTGAGGAAGTATCCTTTACTCGTCAGTACGTAAATCTCGCCTCAATATCATGGAATCGATACACATTACAGGGTTGAGTCAGGCTACAAGAGCATTTCGTACCAGTCCGTTGGAATCTATTTGCTGTGAGGCAGGAATCCCTTCTCTAAATTCAGAAAAAACCAGCACACCTTAAAGTACACCAACAAAATGTCGGAGCACTTGCATCACACCTGGTACACCCATTGATGTTTTCTAACAATCAAGAAAATAATCGTGAGAATAAACCAACAATTATTTGACCACTTCGAATTTGGAGCACACTGATACGAGATAGGTTAGTTAGGTCTATTCGGTCTACATCGCAACCCGCAAGGGTTTATTGTGGCTCAAACCTATTCACAATTAACCAAATAAACCCAGCTTCTTAACGAAGCCGATTAGTTGTAAGCCTAAAAGCCTGATTCGGTCCCCAGCGGGGCAGACACAAAATATGTGCTGTGCTTCATCATTTTCCAAAACAGAGGCGACACACACTGTCTTACGACAGTCCGAGTCTCTGCATATAATGATTCAAATGACAGTGACCTGTAAGAAGGCCTATTGAGACATCGTAGTTCATCCCTATTGTAGTCCAACAACTCTTTGGTATCAAGCTTCGATTCTGCCAGAAGTCCATGAATCTTCTTGCCATCCAGATGTTCAATCTTTGTTTGGCAAAGCCTAAAGCGATGCCAATGACAGATTCTTGTCCGATGGAGCTGCTTGCAGCACTCTCCTTTGCAAGGGAGTCAGCATCTTCATTGTCTTCCAGGACAGTATGGCCAGGAATCCAGACCAAAGACAATCTGTTAAGTCTTCCTATCGAGCAGAGTCGTTTTAGGCAATTTGCTACCAATTCAGACGTTGCTCGGTAGAAGCCAAGAGTTTCCAATACGAGATAACTTGACTATGGAATTCCTCAGCGTTTTTCTCAAAATCTCCTGCAAACTGGAGCAACTTTAAATCTAGCAAGAAGTCTTGAATCATAATGAGAATGATTGTGATAATGTTGTGATGAATGTCAAGTTTACAGACACTGAACATGTCTGACACAGCTAAGTAGCAGCTAAAGACAGACCTAGCAGTCGATGATGCCCAATCGAAAAAAAGCAGGAGGGACAAACATCGGTCAGCGTGAGGGCTTGAGTGGAGTCCAAAACGTATTTGCACAGTAAATGCAGTAAAGGCCAGTAACTTATGAATATTATAGGAAAAAATCTGAGATAGATCGGCAAAATATATCTACCAAAATGTAAATTGAAACTTACCGTATCCGATGGAGAAAAAAATGATGTAGGTCCAGAAAGAGGCGCAAAATATACATGCTATAAGACAGCCTGTCAAAAGAAATGCACTGAATATCGCCACTTTTCTTGTTGTGAATCTCTTGAATACAGGACCGTTCAATAATCCTGAAAAAGAAAATGAATAAGTAGGAAATATCAGTGCAAAAAAATTAACTTGTCTTGTATTTTCATACAAAGTAGATTTCAACTTATGATGATTTAGTTCTGCGGATTCAAAACTTTCATTCTGATATACGGGGTGTATTTTAAATGCTGTCATTAATTTCAGACGGTGAATACTTGTCATATTTTATGAAAAAAAAATCATATGAACGTGTGTCAACTTGCTTTTGCTTCGTTTCCGGGGTGTCGAAGTTTCACTAAAAATATTGTTTTCATCGATACCTCAAAAAAGTCTTTCTTGCCGAATCTAATGGAACTGAGTGGTCTGATGAAAGAACAATATTTTTAGTAAAACTGTGACAATATGTTTCTTGGAAACGGAGCATATGAACAGTTTTTCACGAAATATGACCAGGAATTACCACTAGGAATATACAGGGTGTTTCCTAACTGCAGTAAGAAACTTCAGAGGGTAATTCGTTAGGTCGTTTTGAAAAAACAATTTCCTATACAGGGAGTTGAAGCTTAAAAAAACAGTTTTTATGAAATATCTTAAATATCCTTGCACCGATTTCTTTGAAATTTACTAGTTATTTCAAGTAACAAAGCGCTTATATAGCCCAAACTGGATTGGAATTATTAGGTCCAGTGGCGTCTCAGTGGGCAGCACAGCCAACAATATTGAGGAAAAAAAAAAACGCAACTGACTTTTTTCTGGTTTTTCATTTTTTCAGATTAATTAATTGAAAATACATTTATTTCGTAGCCTGTGTTTTCTTTATAGCAAGCTTCATATTCGAGAAAAAAATCGGTAAAAAAGCAGAATACAACTTCAATACTATAAATTCAAGGACATTATTAAATTTGTCATAAGACTGAGTTAGTTTTTCATGAAGATGAAAGAACAAACAAAACAGAGTCCTTTTTAAAAAAAAAAATCAGCGATAATAATTCATTCTATTGAATTGAATTGAGATGTACTGATATATAAATTTCGATACTTACCCGCGCCTGTATTAAATGCTATGCAGGTATTAATAATCGTGACTGTTTGTGTTTTCGAAATCCCCAATGACGTGAATTTTTCTTTAAAAATCAATCCATATTGTTGGAAGACCGGAAAGGAAGATAACTGCAAAAAACTTCCATTGTAAACAGTTAGCCCTATACGTACTATATGTGATTGTTGGTTCTACAAATATGGACTTTTACTCATTTCCATATTTTTGTAGAAACCTGTAAATTATATATGAATAGAATTGACTAATTGGCAATAAGACATTTTGCAACTTTTTCCACAATAACTTTCCTACTTACTTCAAAGCTTTATTTTTAGACTTATATAATGAAAAGAATATGAGGTTGCTTCATAATGATTATTTACAATGAAAAAATTAACATTTTTGTCAATTATCTGGACTGTTCGTCAGTCTGTATGCCTAACTGCCTGTCTTTAATTTTTCGACTAGAAGGAGATATTTTTTCTTGAATTGTTACCATATTCAACTCTTCAACAAGTAAAAATATTAAAAATATAACCCCTCCAATTAATTAATATTATATATGGTTGTTTTAAAAGTGTTGCCCGTTTTAATGTCATATGTTTTTGTAGTTCCATATCTCAATGAATATTAATGCTACCATGATAGATAGGAATTTTTGTACTCAATATACAGGGTGGGCCATGGGTTTTGGGTGCTAATCTTGCAAATCCTAAAAAACGCTCAGACAGGTCGATTTTTATTGGGAGGGGGACAGTTTTTCCCCATTTACAGCGTCGTCACTTCGACCCCGGAGCAGAGGGGTAAACAACTCCATAATAAATTTTAGAGTTCAAGTTACTTACTTTATTCTCATGTTAGCATACGCTCAAAATGGGCACCTCCAGCTTCCATGCAATGATAGAGATTCAGCTGGAAACATTCATTTGTGATTTGTTGCCGTAAATCTTCGAGGGATGCAGGAGGAGTACAGTAAATTCTGCTTTTCAAATGACCTCACATAAAGAAATCTAACGGCATAAGGTCTGGTGATCGTGGTGGTCATTCGATAGTGCCCCGCCTCCCAATTCAGTGATCCGAAAAAATCTGATCTAAATACTGCCGAACAGGCAGAGCATAGTGCGGAGGAGCCCCATCTTGTTGAATTTTTAACAGATCCTCCCGATAACTGTGGTCATTTTCAATAATATCAGTGAGAAGGGGATGAATAGTATCTTCCAGAAGCTCCAGATACATTTGTCCGGTTGAATTGCCTTCTAAACAATGGGCCAATAATACGTTTACCAAAAATTCCAGCCCATACATTCAATTTTTGTGGACGTTGAGTATGCACTTCATGAAAAATGTGAGGATTTGTATCAGCCCAATAGCGACAATTATGGCGATTAACTGTGCCGC